GTTGTAGTAGTAGTAGTAGTAGTAGTAGTGGTAGTGAGGTAGTGGTAGTAGTAGTAGTAGTAGTAGTAGTAGTAGTAGTACGGTAGTAGTAGTAGTAGTAGTAGTAGTAGCAGCAGCAGCAGCAGTAGTCGGCATCGTCGTCGTCGTCGTCGTGGTCTTTGTGATGGTGGTGGTGGCCGTGGTGGTGGTGGTTGTCTTCGTCTTTGTCGTCGTCGGCCTTGTCGCAGTGACGAACAGCTCGTCAAGTAGCGCACGCTTGTACTACCACTACTTTGCTTGTAGTTTCGGTGTGTTGTTTGTTTTCTGTTGTTACGTAATCTGTTTGCAGAGTCGCAGTTGCTTGATTCTAGCACGGCCAACTTGTTTATGTTAGTTGCATAATGCCAGACTCCGTTCCTGGCACCCTGAAGTTCTCGTGCGAAGAAGTTTCACAGCAGTAGCAGGCAGAAAGAGCTGGATCGATCAATCTCCTCATGTCTTGCTTGTTTTTCGCCCTCGGGTCTTATTCTGGGACAGGGGCTCGCAGCTCAAGGTTGCAGGTTTGTGGCTGCAACATGTTATGTAATGCTTAGGACCTAAACTCAGAACACTTAGAGTGTCATCGTACTGGCTCAAGCACTTTCAAGCTGTCCTTGGCTGCTTGCTGTCCTCACGGGAGCCCAAGTCCACAGTCTAGGTTTTCGCCACGCACTCCGTGAGATATCTCTCAGCAATTTAAGCCCCTTATACATGGGTAGCGATGTAGTCTTGTTCACCCATCACCGTCAAAACAAAGGTTTCCTCCGACAGTGCCGCAGCCCTCGAGATCATGTCATTGGGGATTGCAGAGTGTTTAGCTCGCCGTTCTTGCAATGATGGCCCACGAGCGGTGGTCGTCCGGAACTTCCCAAGGCCTGGTCGCAAAAGCGTATCACCACCGAAAAAGGTAGTACCTGCCCTAGTGGCAGTTGTGTTCCTCATTGTAGTAGCCGGATTCGTAGCCATAGAAGTAGTGGTAGTAGTCGAGTCAAGTGGTCCTCGTGGCAGCAGCAGCAGCAGCATGGCGTAGTGTCGTGTGGTGTCGCGCGGCGTGTGGTGTAAGAGGAGTGGGGTGGAGGAGTGGAGTGGAGTGCGGTGGTTGTAGCAGCAGCAGCAGTGGTATTGTTGGTGGTAGTAGTCGTCGTCATAGTAGTCGTCGTAGTAATAGTAGTCACTTAGTATCCGTCGTCGTGGTGGTGGTGGAAGAAGTGCGGCAGCTGATGCAGAACCTCGGCAGGTAACGTCTGGTCGAACTATGTGAAGCAAGGAAGCAAGATCAGTTGCTTGGTGGAACTTGCACCACTCTCTTTGTTGCAGTTGGACCAGGCCGTACCAGGCCGTGCCTGCCCCCGTTGCGACACGAACCCTGACAGCTTCAGCAAAAAATTCTTCTGAGGTGCAGGCGGCTTTGGATTTGTCTCTCAGGCACTGGGGGCACCAACTTGGTTGAGTCTTTACGGCAAGCAAAAGCCCAAAAGAAACGGTTTGGGATTTTTGGAGTTCCAGGTTGGGTTTTGGCGTTTGGGGTCTAAGTTCTGTCGTACTTGGGGCTTAGGGCTGAATGTTTAGGGAGGGGGTTCGAAAAGTTCAAGAAGAAGAGAAGCTACAACACCCAGATTGTCATCAGATAATGCCAGCACGAGTGACCGTAACATCAGAAGCAAGGCACGCAGAAGCAAGAACTGCAAAAGCCGAAAGAAAGAGTAGCGAGTAATCACCCGAACCGGACGAATCCTTCAAGGCTGCATTTCCTGCGGTGGTGCTCTTTCTGCCAACGTGTTCTCCCCGCAGGCGGTCTGCACGAAGAGCGGTGAGCGGGTTGCCATCAAGGCCTTGGCATACCTGCGAGTCGGAAATGCAGTTGCAAAAGGAGGGTGTGTTAGGCACATCGAGAGCCACAGTAGTACCAACCGAGTTTGTGACGACGGCAGCTGTTAAGACGACGAACGACGACGACGACGACGATTGTTACAACTACAGAACCACTTTGCCTTTCCTTTTCCCAGTGCCATGCCTGTTTTTATTTCCGCTCCTCGTCTTTTGTTGGGTTTGTAAACATTGTAGTGATGCAATTCTAGACACAGTCTCCCATTCACTGTGTCATCAGTCTTCGCGCTCGCAGTGGCGATCTTGGGCATGGAATCTGCTCAGAAATTCATTTGCAAATATGTCCCTTTCCTTCCTGCCAGTCTGTGCCAAAGCTGCCGGCCTCGGCATCACGCCAGCTTCGGCGACGGGACAAGGAGAGACTGCAGCAAGAGGCCCGCTCCCCGGGCTCGAGGCTTGGGTCCCTGGGTCCTCCAAGGAAAGGGCGCTGCGATTCCTCGGTGTTGCTGGTGTTGCACATTGACATGTTTTTTTGGTACCTCACGCCCAGACAATGGAAGGCACTCATGTGTCTTTGCAGGGTGGCCTGTCATGGTCATAAGCCCGTGCCTTCAGGTCTCTATCATGAAGCTGGTGCAAAGGGGGGAGTATGTGGCCGGGTGGCACTGGATCCGTGATGTTTTCGGGCGCGTTCGCTGGAATGGCTGCAGATGTTCCGAATCCAAGGTAGTGAGGCTCCATGAAACCTACGAAGACGATGCCTTTGTGTACATGGTCATGGAGCTCTGCCAGGGCGGAGAACTCGCGACCTGGATCTGACAGAGCCGTGTGGCCAGAATGACTCCCCCAGTCCCTGCCTTGTCGGAGCCCGAACCTGCACTTGGCAGTGTAGCAGCGGAGCCCGTCACTTTGTCGCTCCTTCTCTCTGCCTCCTTGGTTTAAGATGCCCCAAGACCGAAAGCCTGGCAAGAAAGGATCGACAACACTGAAGCTTGTCGAGGTGTCCTTCCTGTTGGAACAAGGCACTCACAGCGAGGCTCAGGCCATCTGTGCTCGTTGGTGGTCTTCGTGGATAAGGGGCTGAGGTGATTGAACTGTTGGCTGTTGTAGTTTTCGAATCACGGGTCCGAGCTCCACAGTTTGGAGAAATGCTCAGAGGACCGAGGCCTTGTCATCCCTGAGTGCAGCGAGAACGACTTCTGAGTAGAATTCACATGGTGATTACACCTTGGCTGTACTTTTCCTGCGGGCCTCTATCATGCGCCTGAGCCCGCAGCCCGCCATTTCAACGCAGGCAGTTCTGGTGATGCGCCAGGCCAGAAAGGGCTGAGCATGGTATGGCATGGTGCTTCGGCATTGTCTCGGCTCGCAGTGGCCAGTGTTGATGTCGCATTGACTGGGGTTTCGGGAAGAGCGTGCAAAGGCTCGAATTAGAGCTATCGAGTTGAGCCTTTGGCAGGTCTTCCAAGCCGTGGCCTACCTGCATAGCTGTTCCATCTGCCACCGGGATCTGAAGCCAGAGAACCTTCTGCTGCTGCATCGGCGGCCAATCAAAGAGAACGTCGTGAAGGCGCAGAGCAGGAGAGCCTTGATGTTGGGGGCTGTGCCGGTAAGCTGGCCTGCAGTGCCCAGACTCCGACGTCTCCAGTCTCCAGACGATGTCCTACCTATGCAGGCTGCAAGCCCTCGTTAGTTCCGGTTGGAGAATTCCCAGCGCAGTGACGTCGTAGCTGTGATTCGCTGCTCAAACTCAGCTGGTTGGCCAAGTTGATCCGCAAGGTCCTCTCGGTCCTCTCCTGGCGGTGCACAGCCGCGAGTGCTTAACACCCTCAGCTATCAAAGCTCTGAGCCCAAAGCCCTGAAAGCCAGAGCAGCAGACGTTCTCCCCAAACTACAGCAAACCGTGGTTACTTACTGAACAACCTCCCAAAGCCAAGCCCCCGACCAAGCTGAAAATCCTGCTTTGAGAGGTGACGGATTTCGGCCTCTCAGCACTTTGCCCTTCGGGCTCTGAGCTCCGTGGCACGGCGGCTGGCCTTGATCTGGAGCTGTTGTCAACTTTAGGGCTTATGCTTCAAGTCTAGGAGTTTCATTTGTTTGTGACCTAGTCAGCGAAGCGGGTGAGAAAAACACATTTGTGTTGAGAGTTTCGTTGGGTTTGGGGCTGAAGGTTGGTGCAGATTCGGCATGTGGGGTACATGTGGAAAGTGGAGGGCTGAAAGCTTAGGCCTCGGGCTCAGCGCAATGATCGGAATATTGGGTTGGCTGTTGTGTAGTCGGTGTGAGAGGTCCTTATTACAGCAGCTTGAGAAGAGCGAACGTCTGGAAGAAGTCCTGGAGTCCTGGACCTTGATGCTGCAACGTTTGTCTGAGAGTAGGCGTCAAAGAAAGAATTTACTTCGAGATTATTCTCTTTCAGATGCCCAGCATTGCCCAGCACCCTCTTCTAAGATGGGGACGCTGCCATACATGGCTCCGCAGGCGCAGAATGCCCTTGTGAGGGCATGCTTCGGTCGTTTGCATTGTAGAATCGCTCTTGCTTGTCTAGGTGTTTCTCGATCTCAGTCTGAACTCTAAACCCCAGAGACCGACCCAGGAGTTCAGGTCGTCTGGTTACGGGTGAACTCGAACCCTAACTAGCAGCCACTGGTACCATGCTCAATAAAATCGTGAAGGCTGTGCTTCCGCTGCTCCCCTCTTCCTGCCTCTGTCAGCGTGGTAGGTTTGTAGCCTTAGCCCTTCCAAGCGCACTTGTTACACCTGCAGCTACATCGTCACCCTAAAGAGCACCCAAACTATGTACGAAACCCAAGATTTGCATCTCCTAAAGCTGTGCAAGAATGTCGCAGGTGTTAAACGGCCGGTACGACTTGGCCGCAGACATCTGGAGTTGTGGAGTATTGACGTATCTACTGCCGCTTGTTTGATGCTTGATTGTTGAGTTTGTGTTGAACTTGGCCGGCTCATGCTTCGGGGTAGGGGCGGCAGGCAGAAATCTGTTGTCGCTGCTGAGGGATGGATGGACAAAGGTGAGGCTGTCTGCTGCCACGCGCGGTGCGCTTCAACCAACATCATGAGTCAAATCTGCTCCACGATAACCGGTGAAGTGACTGACGGAGCCGCTGCTGACACAGAAGCTGCTGCTGCTGCTAATGATGGAGCGGTTGGAAATGCTGGTGGTGTGGATCCTGATGATGATCGACAATGTATTGACGACGACTTGAATCATGATGATTCTCATAACTGTGATGGTGATGATGATGGTTGTGATGTTGGTAGCAGAAAGACGGCAGCTATTGAGGTGAGACCAATGCACGAAACCAGTACGCAGGAGAGGTTTGAAAAATCGGTTGAGCTGCAGGAAGCTGCAGCCAAGCTGACTGCAAACTACATGGGAATCACTGTCTGTCAGCGTCGGTCGGCTGATGAACGATTTGGGCTCATTTTACCAGATGGCATTCCGCATTCATGGTGAGGCTCTGCGGCTACCCACCGTTCTGGCATGACCAAGTGTCTCGGCATTTTTTGGTGCACGTCTTTCGGTACCGGAAACCTGTCACTGCGAGTCCATACAGCGGTTGATCTATTTGCCGGAGAGCGGGTAGGTCATAACCAAGAATCGACGATGCCGACAACAACTACGACGACTACGACTTCTACTCCTACTGCTGCTGCGGCTGCTGCTGCTGGTGCTAGTGCTAGCGCTCCTGCTACTCCTGTTTCCCTGATACTACTTCTACTACTGCTGCTGGGGCCACCGCTGCTACTACCCTTACTCCTTACCACTGTGACTACTGCGACTGCTGCAGCTACCGTGACTACTGCTACTACTGGTGCTACTGCTACTACTGGTACTACTGCTACTACTACTGCTGCCAGACTGCTACTAGCCACCGACCCCTACCAACCACACCTCGTCATTGTCATCAACATCATCACCACCAACATCACGAAAAAGCAGACACATTTCATCACCAACATCACCACAAAGCAAACACATTTCATCACTAACATGACGAAAATCAAATACATTTCATCACCTTTCATCACCAACATCACCAAAAGTACTGCAATACCGAGTAAAAGGGGGGTTGTGTGCGAAAGTACTGTAAATACCGAGGAAAAGCTTTCTCCCACCCAATTTCGAGTTTTCGCTGCAAGCCGTTCGAGACACCAAAGTTTAAGACACGCAGTCCAGAAGTAGGGGTGGCAACTATATAAGAAAGTACGACATCACGAAA